TTCTCTCGTCTAAGAATAAATCTTCTTTTTCTCTCTAGCTTTCTCTCTATATTTCACACACTTCTTTATTTTCTTTTAAATTTTGTTTTCAACAATTATTCTAAGTATGATTTTGTTCATGCTTAGCTAATTTTCTTTTAAGCCGAAGGCTAAAGCGAATGATCAATTCCAAACGTGAGAATTGTAAGGTACTTAAATCGCTTTGGATTTCTCTCTCTATTTTCTAAGATTACTTTTCAAATCAAAACAACTTCGACATTGGTTTGGATGTTGTTATGGTTCACGTTTGAAGAAGGATTGGCTTATTGAAGCACATTCGACTTCCTAAGAACACATTTAGCAAAATTGTTTGCTAAGAGGAAAGTGAGATCGGAATCAGTCATTGTTGAAACGACACAATCCGAGTTGGCAACGAAGAATTGTCCTTGTAAGCCATCGTGAATCTTGAAGTAAAAATCTATTTTGATGATCCGAGGAATTTGAGGCAAAGCTAAAGTCTAAGGCTACTTTCACTATAAGTTTCTCTTTATCTCAATCTCTTTAAATTATTTATTTAATTATTTTTGTTTTATTTTAATTCTTATCTTTTATTTTAAAATCAACTTTTAAAAACCCCTTTTTATCTTTATTACTATTATTTATTACTTTATTATTTTATTATTTTCCCTTTTATTTCTTATTATTTATTTTATTTTATTATATCTTTTCAACTTCATCGGGAATTTTATTCTCCTATAAATCAAAGAGTTTAACTAAATCACAAAAACCATATATATGTGGATCGACCCTGCTTCTCTATAATACTTTTCCTTTCTATTTATTAAGAAGCCGAAATTATTTTGATAGCAAAACAATGGTTATCAGTCATATCTATAACCTTTAGAGGTCGATACAATATTTAATGCTTCACTGGTACTTTCAAAACTTGTCCACAAACATTTCCTTAAACTAGATCATGAGAGTATTTAGGTCATTTCAATATTCAGGGTTATTTCGGTTGTTTTGGGGATTGAGCATATTTTGATTATTTAGGGTCCAAGGGCAATTCAATCATTTCAAAACTCAAGGATAATCCTTCATGAACTAGAAGTTCAACGTAATATAGATTTTAAAGGTAGAAGCTGACTTTCAGGGTTTCTCAATAGACCGAGAATTCAATCGATGATTCAAAGGTTCAAAAGGAACAAAATATGAGTTATCATGTCGTTTTCACAATCACAGTAATATTTAGTTCCTTTTTACACTTTAAGGGTATTTTCATCATTTTACCCCGTAAGGGTATTTCCGTAATTTCTTATCTAAGTATTCTCACTATTTGACCTTTAAAATAAATAATTAGAATTTTAATGGATTTGAGGCTTATCATATTTTCAATTAATCACTGAATCAATACTTATTCCTTATGAGCCTTCTAATTCCTTATTGACACGCGTCATTATGATGTCAAAATAAATAGCCTTAATCTCAATAAAATAAATAAGAATAAGTAGAATAGTGAGAGTAAGGGCCGATCCACATGGATTAGGAGTTTGACGATTTCCTCACTTTTGATCTGGCTTCAAGCGTGATTTATAAAAGAAAATAAGAGGGGGATTTGAAAGTTGGAATAAAAGGTAAAATGTGAAAGAAAAATAAAGAAAGTAAACTAAGTAAATTTTAAGTGAAAATTCAATTGCTAAAAATCAGCCTTGGGCTAAAGCTTTTTACTCGATTTAAATCGATCCTTGAATAGGATTTTACCTATATGCTCACGTCGGTTACAGTCTATAGAGCTTAACCCCTATAACTTGTTTTTCTCTCAAATGAATTGAGAATCTAAAATCAATTTTCAGATCTCAACTCTTTGTGAGTTAATAGCAACAATCGCTTATTAATTAAACGCTTTTAAATTTAGGAAAAACCTGACTCAGATTCTATCGTCTCAATTGAGAATCTAACCCAATTTTAGTTTCCCTTAGCGGACCGCCGCTAAGTGTGTTCATAGGAAGTCGAATGTGCCACAGGTCGATCCTTCCTCCCAACTATTAATTGAAAGCGAAATTCAATTCCAACGTGCACTTTTTGAAATGAAATCGCCTTGATTATAAAAAGATGGTTGATTATCGATCCTTGATTTTCGAAAACTAAAAATGTAATCCTTGAGGGTGTGAAGCGCTTTTTGATTCTCATGACTTAGAATTGAGTCATTGCTCTAACCCTTAGCTATAGAAAACTTAACTAAGCATGGTAGAAACCATACTTAGCATTTTGAAAGAAAAATAAAAAGAAAGAAAAACTTTTATAAATCTAAAGGAAGAAAGAAACAAGAGTAGAATAAATTCTAAATGAAGATCGATGCTTAGAGGCTTACCCCAATGGGGTATTTATAGTCCTAAAAAAACCTAGAAAATAATATTCAAATCAAAAGATAATTCTTAAAGATAATTCCTAAAAACAAAAATAAGATAAATCCTAATTTAAAATAAAAATTCGACTAAGTCTCCTTCTCCACGCCACTGTTGATTGAATCTTCTAGAAGTTGCTGATTGGGCACCACGTCACCTGCCACATCATCACCACATCAGCTGCCACATCAACCACTGACTAGTATGTTTATTATGTGAGCTTTGTGGTTTCCTATGTAGTGATGTTGTTGACAGTTTTTTGTCGTGCTTTACATAAATCCACATTGGCGAAGAACTTGGTTTTCTTTCGTTGGGAAGTGCGTCACTACCTGTCGCTATTCAACCATGGGAAATTTCATTGTGTATCACATCTCCAAAATTTGTGCTTAGCTGCCATGAAGATTTCATTGAAGTTGTTTCGTGCTGATCCAAGGAAAGGAAAGAAAATTTGATCTTTTGATCTGATTGTTTCAAATGTTCTTGAGATGAATTGTTGCAAGTCTTTTGTTTAATTTGCAGTTTGAATAAAGCTCTTATCCTTGTGGAAAGGAAGCTGATAGCCTTGGTCTTAATATAGTTTTATCATTGTATAGGAATGTTCAATTATCATTGTATATTGTGATTTCCTGTTTACATGTTTTAACTTCAATCCCCAATCTTTTTAAATGTCTTAACAAAAGGTACCTTAGTCAGATAAACTCGATTAGATAACTTATTTGTTTAAGTCCTCAAATTTATCGTTTTAAGAACTCAACAACCATCGCCCTATAGTTGAAGGACAATTTTGTAACTTAATAATTATAGAACTAGATAAAACAATGTTTTATAGTCGAGAGACATTTTGTATATTTTACCCAAAAGTCCAATTGAATGCGTGTAAAATACTTAAAAGACTTAAATTTTCCACGAACTAAGACTTTATGCAATATTTTATCGATCAAATTTCAACCATTCATGTCAAATTCAATGTCCCCATAATGTCGGACAAAAATTAGAAAATATTACAACAATTTAAGTACGAGTCTTGTGTATAAAATCAAATAAAAAGGAAGACTTTGTTTTTATTTTCCACAAAGCCAACACTTTCAACACGATAACTATAAAGTAAAATCTCATTTCATAATTAAATTTCACATAATTTTTATTTAATTGAAAAAAATAATTATTTTACTTTAAAGATATCAGAGATTTTGTTTTTCTTGTCAACAAAATTAAAATTTTGGGTAAAATATACAAATGGTTTCCCGACTATAGGATATTGTTTATCGAGTCTCGCGACTATTAAAAGTTACAAAATGATCTCCTAACTATATGACTAGTCCTCCGACTATTAAAAGATACAAAATTATTTCATACTCAGAAATAAAATCTTATTTATTATTTTAATGTATTTGTGAATAGTTACTTTGGAGTTTAGACTTTAAAATTGCTTTACACACTCTTTTGATAATTTTTTATTAAATTTATTAATTTATGTTTATATTAGCTCTATATAATATTAGTAGATTTTACATATAGTTAAGAAAATAAGGTAAAAATTTCGGTGAGCTTAGCTAACAACGAGGCGAGCAATGAGCATCGAGCTTAACGAGTAACAAGCTTAATGAGCAACGAGCTTAACGAGCAACAAGCTTAATGAGCCACAAGTTTTCTTAACGAGCACGAGTCAAACAAAATTTTAACGAGCTTAACGAGCATTAAGTTGATTTGAACAACAATTTTTTTTAACGAGAACAAGTCAAGCATTGCCCAACTCGCTTAATAATCACCCCTACTTTCTACACGTTAACTCTATAGTAGAAACACATTTTTCATAATTATATTTTAAATAATTTTTATTCAATTGGAAAGTAAAGGACAAAACAAATAAATATCTTACTTTAAACATAAAATTATCAAAGATGATACACATTTTAAATCTATACTTTTTTTAATTTTGAAATTTTCGTCCCAACTCAAATAATATAAAGATAATATATTTTTTTGGAATGAATAAAAAGGTAATACAATTGAATTATAGAAACATAAAATGATTAAATTTCAAGAACGAGAATTAAACCTATAATTTATGCATTAAACATGCATTTATAATGGGATAATATATTTTCGTACTAAAGTTAAAAAAATTTCAATTTAACTACCCAACTTTCAAATTACTCCCATTTTAATCACACTAATATATTTATTAATATTTTTTGTGACATGACATTTTTTATTAAAAAGTTTGAGTGATTAAATCAGGAGTAGTTTGAAAGTTAAGTAATTAAATTAAGAAAAATTAAACTTTAGTGTCCAAAATAAGAGTGAGAAGATAGTTGAGGGTGATAAATGATGCAATTTACCCTTAAAAATGGTGCCACGTGCAAATAATCGTTTAAGTTTTTTAACAACGAGGGGTACTAAAACGAAAAAAAAACTAAAACTTAGGTAAGGTTTTGAAAAATTTAAAAGTTTAAGTACTAAAATTGATAGTTTATGTACTAAATGTATAATTTACCCATATAATTTCTAGAATGTATCTCTTCAATATTTTTTTCATCAACTTTCTTTTATTTAATATTTTTTTCAAACCAATTTTAATTAGAATTTCTATTACAAAATTTATAATATTTTCAGGATGGTGTGATCTAAAAAAGCTTGAAATATTGGATGCAAGTTGGAATACACTTGAAGGGATGCTTCCTCGTTGTTTGAGTAACTTGACTTCTCTTCGTGAGTTAGATTTGTCTAACAATCGACTCAATGGAAATCTAGTTCCTTTAACAATTCTTACATCACTTTTTTTAGCTCAGCAACATGAATGATTTATTATGTTAAAAAAGAGAATCAGCGAAACTCCAAATGTGAGTCTCATTAAAAAAACCCCTAATCCTAAATGAGAGAAAAGAGTACTCCACACTTGAAGAATACACAAAGAAAACACTTCTCAAAAGCTCAAAAGCTCAAAAGCTCACTACAACAATTTGGTACAAGATCCCCCTAACAAACTGACTCTGAAAATCTAAACAATCCAGTTCCTATACTGGACAAATGAATAAAACATTACGGTTCCAAACGACCCTCTCACCAACATGCTGCAAACATTACTGCTCTCCTGGACCCCAACTTGGCCAAGTAATCTGCCATTCCATTTGATAATCTAGGCGTGAAAACATACTTAACCTCTCTAATCTTCAAAGCATCTTCATCAAACTGTTGAAAGGTAGAACCCCACCTCCATGGTCGAACATAGTAATTTTGAACCCAATTCAACGCTACTGTAGAATCAGATTCGAGAATCAGATCAACCTTACCACACCACAATGATTCGCTAAAAACCTCCAAAGCTTTTTTAATTGCTGACAGTTCTGCAAAATCGGAATTTATCTCTGCAACCGGTCCAAAGAACATTGCCACAACATAACCCTCGGCTGTCCTTAGCACTCCCCCGCAACCTGCAACATCCTTTGTCGCTGAACCGTCGACATTGAACTTCATCTGACCAAATTTAGGTGGCTGCCATACAGTCTTCAGAATTCTGTTTGCTTCACTTGAAATTGCTGCATCCCCAGGAGAATCCCACCATCGTTTCTCATCTAGGACTTCGAAAACCTTCAACGCCTTACACCAGGCAAACGCCCTCATCTTGACAAAAAGGATAATGTCTTTAATAATGGTACCTTTATCCCTGAAGACAAATTCGTTCCTAGCCAACCAGAGACTCCAGAGCGCTGCTGCAAAGCTAACATGCCAAGCCACTACTGTTGACACTTTCTATTGAAACTGAAAGCAAAATTCAAATAGATCATCGACAGAAATAAAATTTCGTCCTGCAATACGCCACCATCTGCAGAATGCATTCCAAAAACATCCCATGAAAATGCAGGACACAAACAGATGGTCCGCATCTTCTTCTGCATCTCCACACCACGGACACAAACACTCGATATCAGTCAGAGAAATCCCTCTGTTTCTGGGGAAAGTCTTTGTAGGCACCCTATTCAATTTTAACATCCATAAGAAATACTTTACCTTTGGAGGAATTTTAAGCCTCCAAATTTTATCGTAGCAGAACAAATCAGCATCTTCAAAATTACCATTGCACATCAACAATTCTGACAGTTTCTTAACCTTAAAAATTCCATCGTTTTCATGAACCCATAAGATGCGATCAGGCACGTAAGAAATGATTTTAATCCTATCAACTTCTCCTTTAATTCTGTGGACTATAACACGCTCCCTATCCAAGAGTTGCCTATTAAACAAAGCTGGAAGATCTTGGCTTAACCACTCATCAGCACTAAACATTTCATCAACCGATATAAATTTTCTGGACACGAGCCTGTATAAACGAGGGTATCTAGACCTTAGTGCCTTATCACCATACCAAACATCCTCCCAAAAAAGAACAATTTTCCCATCACCCACTTGCCAACGAAAAGAATTACCACACATCCACTTTTCGGTTTCTTCACTCTGCAGATTGCTAATAATCCCTTTCCATGTTATCGAAGCGTCCTTTATGTTTCCTAAATTAACCATCCATGGCAATTCACCTGAACCATATTTATGGCATATTATTGACCTCCATAATGCATTTCTTTCAGTGGCATACCTCCATCCCCATTTAGCTAGCAACGCCTTGTTTTTCACCCTCAAATTTATAACTCCCGCCCCACCATGTTTTTTTGGAATGCACAACCTTCCCCAATTAACCCTTGACAACCTCCTTTTATTCCCTTCAACCCCCCGTAAGAATCCTCTTTTAATATAATCTATCTTTGATATTACTGCTTTAGGGGCACTGAAAATCGACATATAATAAAGAGGCAGTGTTGACAAGACTGAGTTAATCAGGACAACTCTCCCAGCAAAAGACAATGCTCTACTTTTCCAACTTGCCAATTTAACTTTACATTTTTCAATAACCGGGTCCCAGGTTGCCACTCTTCTCGGATCCGCACTTAAAGGAATTCCCAAGTACTTAAACGGCAGAGAACTCACAGAACATCCACACAAAGATGCCAAATGATCAACTATCGCTTCCTAAATCTTACATCACTTGGTGAGTTAGATTTGTCTAACAATCGACTCAATGGAAATCTAGTTCCTTTAACAAATCTTACATCACTTAGATCCATCCATCTTTCAAGAAATCATTTTCAAATTCCAATGTCATTGGTTCCATTTACAAATTTACCAAACCTCAAGTTCCTCTACATTGCTGAAAACAATTTGGTAATGGAACCTTCCTCCTCTACGCCCATCCCAAAGTTCCAGCTAAGAGAGATCAATTTGTCAAACTGCATAACATCTCAAGAACTCAGTCTTGAACTTCCCACCTTCCTTCACTACCAATATGACTTGAGATTTGTGGATCTTTCTGGAAACAATTTCAGTGGAACATTTCCAGTTTGGTTGTTAGAAAACAATACGAAGTTAGGGGAGTTCATCTTGAATGGTAATTCTTTTAAAGGTCATCTCAGATTACCATCAGTTCCTAATTCTAATTTAGCTTCATTTGACATATCTGATAACAAGTTACAAGGTCAGATTTCATCCAACATATGTTCAATTTATCCACAATTGGTAATCTTATTCTTATCTAAGAATGCCTTTGAAGGTAACATCCCTCCTTGTTTAAGTGGCATGATGGATTTATATTCTTTAGATCTGTCAGACAATCAATTGTCTGGAAGAGTACCGGAAGAGTTGATCATGAAAAGCTGGTTTTACTGCTTGAGACTATCAAATAACAACCTCAGCGAAAATGTACTTCATGCGATTCTCAAAGCAAATGGGTTGTCAAATATATATTTGGATGGAAATAATTTTTCTGGAGAGATGGTCAATGTTGATGTCTCTACTTTTCAGTTTCCAACTTCACTGGAGGAAATTGATCTCAGTAATAACAAGTTGTATGCAAAGCTCCCAAGATGGATGGGGAACTTGTCAGAGTTGAGGAGATTGGCTTTGTCTAACAACAGTTTTGAGGGTTCTATTCCAATAGAGTTTTGCAGATTGAATGGCTTGGAATTTTTGGATCTTTCTGGAAACAATTTATCTGGCTCTATACCATCCTGCGTCAATCCTCCATACATAGAGCATGTCCACCTTCATGGGAATAGACTGAGCGGTACGTTGTCACTTGCTTTTTATAATAGCTCTTCACTTGTGACATTAGATCTTGGAGAAAACAATTTGACCGGTAGGATTCCGAAATGGATCGACACTCTTTCTTCTTTGAGTGTCCTTCTGTTAAGAGCTAATCATTTACAAGGTGAAATTCCAGTTCAATTATGCAATTTGAATTCCTTGAGCATTATTGATCTTTCTCAAAATATGTTTTCTGGCTCTATACCTTCTTGTTTGGGAAATTTCACTTTACAAACGCATGAGAATAAGATCATACAACATGAAATGACAGAAGTTCCAACAGTGGGTGAAACGACAATAAATCATGCCTTTTCCTACAGCTACATTGAAGAACGGATAGATTTCAGAACAAAGAGTTGGTTCTACTCGTATGGGGGTAACATCTTGAGTACATGACCGGTATTGATTTATCTTGCAACAAGTTAACTGGTCAGATCCCACGCGAATTAGGAAACTTGAGTGAAATCTATTCTTTAAACTTGTCACACAACAACTTGGTCGGAGTTATACCCTCGTCGTTTTCAAAACTTAAGCAGATTGAGAGTTTGGACCTTTCCTACAACAAGTTGATGTTAGGAAATAAACCGAGTACAAGTAATTTTCCTATAACCAGATTAGTGAGAATGCGAAATAAAAGCGAAAAAATAATACCAAAAAATTAATAACGGAGTTCAGCCAATTGTGCTTACGTCTCCGGCTGCTGCAGATCTTTTACTAAGAGAGAAAATTTACAGGTGTTTATAAAACACTCACTACTCACAAGAAAATTCTCTAGTATAGGAAGAAAGAAATGTTTTGGGATGATTTTGAAGCTAAATGAGCTAGGGTATTTATAGTTGAAACTTAGGACTAAACTTGTAATTAACCCTAAAGTGCAAAGGGACTAAAAACCACATTCCCCATTTTGTTTTAGCAGTCGGCTGCTACTTAGCAGCCCAACTTGTTCTTTTTTTTTTAATTTTCAACAATCTCCCACTTGAAGACTGATTTTAATCCGTCTTCATACCTCGATCGATGTAGCAGCATTTCTGGTATTGTTATTCTAGCATGCAAACTGAAGCTGAACACAACTTTAGTTTGTCCGTGGTCACCGTCTTTGTCAACATATCTGCCGGATTTTGAGCTCCACTGATCTTTTCAAGTTTCAAAATCCCATCTTCCAGAAGAGACCGGATAAAATGATATCTCAATTGTATGCGCTTCGTCCTGGAATGAAAAGATGGATTCTTTGCTAGATGGATAGCACTTTGACTGTCGCAATACAAGACATTGTTTTCTTGTTTCTTGCCTAACTCTTCCAAGAAACTTTGGAGCCAGACCATCTCCTTGCTGGCTTCCGTAACAATGACATATTCTGCTTCGGTTGTGGAGAGAGCAACTATCTTCTGTAGTTGAGAAACCCAACTCACTGCAGTTCCTCCTAGAGTATAGACATACCCTGTAGTGCTCCTTCTGATGTCAACATTTCCGGCTAAGTCAACATCTACATAGCCTGTTAGTATCGTATCTCCACCTTTGAAACAAAGTGCTTTGTTTGTGGTACCTCGCAGATATCTGAGGATCCATTTGACTGCTTCCCAGTGTACCTTGCCCGGATTATTCATGTACCTGCTAACAGCTCCCACTGCATGAGCAATATCTGGTCTGGTACAAACCATGGCATACATCAGACTTTCAATTGCTGAGGCATACGACACCTTCACCATGTGTGCACGTTCTTCCTCCTTCTTTGGTGATTGGTCTTTGGAGAGTCTGAAATGAACACCTAAAGGTGTACTTATTGGTTTAGCATCTTGCATGTTGAACCTGGAGAGTACTTTGTTGATGTACTCAGCCTGTGATAACATCAAAGTCCCCGACTTTGTGTCTCTTTTGATCCTCATCCCAAGAATTTTCTTTGCAACGCCCAGATCTTTCATAGCAAACTGTTTCGATAATTTTTGCTTCAAGTTTATAATATCTTGCATATTTGAGCCTGCAACGAGCATGTCATCAATGTACAATAATAAAATAATGAAGCTATTGTCGAACCTCTTGATGTAGCAACAATGATCTGCTTGGCATCTGGTAAAACCATTGCTACCCATGAAGCTATCGAACTTCTTGTACCACTGTCTAGGAGCTTGTTTTAAACCATACAAGCTCTTCTTTAACTTGTATACCAGGTTTTTGTTTCCTGCCTCTATGAAGCCTTCTGGCTGCCTCATATAGATTTCTTCCTCCAAATCACCATGAAGGAAAGCTGTCTTTACATCTAACTGCTCAAGATGTAAATTCTCCGCAGCTAAAATTTTCAACACCAGTATGATTGTAGACAATTTTACGACTGGAGATAAAATTTCATTGTAGTCAATACCTTCTTTTTGCTGAAAGCCTTTGACAACCAATCTTGCTTTGTATCGTTTTCTCCCATCGTGCTCTTCTTTGATTCTGTAAATCCACTTGTTATGGAGTGCCACTTGATCGAATCCTCCACTTGCATTGCTTCATCATAGCACTCTGGTTCACCATTGTCAGTCAACAACAAGTAGTGCAAAGAAGGAGAATACCGTTGGGTTGGTTTAGGAATTCTGGAGGAGCGTCTTAATTCCGGTGTGCATGGTTCTTCTTGAACTGCTTCAGGACTGATCTGAACATCATTTCCAGAAATCTCCTCGAACTCAGCAAATTCCTTTGTTTCAGCTTCGATGTTGGAGCTACTTGATTCTACGGTTGACCTGTCTTTGTACATCACATTCTCATTGAAAATGACTTCTCTGCTTATGATGATCTTCCGATTTTCGTAGTCCCAAAACCGGTAACCAAACTCATCACCGCCATAACCAACAAAGGCACATTTGTTGGACTTAGCATCAAGTTTGCTTCTTTCAGCAGAGTTTATGTGTACATAAGAAATACAACCAAACACTCTTAAGTGTGAAAGGTTTATATCTTTCTTGCTCCAAGCTTCCTCTGGTATTCCACCATCCAAAGGAACTGAGGGCCCACGGTTGATCAGGTAAGCTGCAGTGTTGATAGCTTCAGCCCATAGAAATTTGGGCAATCCGGCATGTATCCTCATGCTTCTGGCACGTTCATTCAGAGTTCTGTTCATGTGCTCTTCTACGCCATTTTGCTGCGGTGTCTTGGGAACTGTTGTCTCCATCTTGATCCCATTATTTGCGCAGAAATCTCTGAATCTATTGTCTCTGTACTCTCCTCCATTGCCAGACCTCAAACGCTTGACTTTCAAACCAGTCTTATTTTCCACCATGGCCTTCCAATTTCTGAAGGTATCAAACACTTTTGATTTATTCTTCAGAAAATAAACCCACACCTTCCTTGTTGAATCATCGATGAAGGTGACATAATATAGTGAGCCTGCAAGAGATGGAACTGAAGATGGTCCCCATACATCAGTATGAACCAATTCTAACCTTTCTGCCTTGGGTGTCTTGCCAATCTTTGCAAAACTGACTTTCTTTTGTTTGCCAAAGATGCAATCCTCGCATAGTCCGACATCTACATTCTTTAGATCCGACAACTTCCCTTTTGACAAAAGTGTCTTCATCCCTTTCTCGCTTATATGGCCAAGCCTTTGGTGCCATAGGTTTGATTTTCCATCAGCATCTGATACTGCAATGATATTCTCTAAATTTGAGGTTACATAGAGAGTACCAGTCTTCTTACCATGAGCAATGACGAGTACTCCTTTGGTAATCTTCCATTCACAGCCTGAAAAGGTTGTACTGTATCCTTCTCTATCAATCTGTCCAACAGAAGTCAGATTTCTTTTGAGGCCAGGAATATGTCTCACTCCTGTCAGCTTCCAGGTGGTCTGGTTTGGCAACTTTAGTCGGATGTCTCCTTTTCCGACGATCTTCAAGGTTTCATCATCAGCTAGATGAACCTTCCCAAAATCACCACTGACATAGTTCTCAATGATTTCTTGGCACGGGGTGGAGTTGAAAGATGCTCCTCAATCCAAGATCCATGATTCAATCGG